GCTCCGAACATTTCGAACGGATAGGCTACCACACACACACACAACAACAACAACAACAACAACAACGACAACGACAACGACAACAAGAACAACAACAGCAACAACAAAGGTAACGAGGTCCGCTGACATAGCCATAACAGTCAAGCACACAAACAGCAAAGATTATCCTGCATGTCAGATGAGCAGATAGATAGAGAGGGTATAGCATATCACAGGTCATGCGATGTACCACTGGGCGGTGCCACTGACTGAAGTGTCTTTAGGCCATTCCCAAAGGGGGGACATTAACATTTTATTATGCACAGTAGAATTGTAAATGGGCTGATTTATCAATGTCATGCTCATACTGTGCCTGAACTGCAACAGGGAACTACTGCTTTTTCTGTCCTAATCCTTACTATCATCATTTTTCCTCTACATTCTTGTGACCCGCTATTTCCAGGGTGCCTAGATAGTCGAAGGAGACTTTGTGCTGTTGGAGCTAGAGAGGTGAGCAGAATAAGTCTGATTCCCTGTAAGGACTTCTCTGTTGACATCCACCCCTTGGCGCTCATACCTTATGCAGTTGCCAGCGCTGTAAAACCTCTACTAAAACTAAACAAAGGTCAGGCGATAGCGATGGTAAAGTATACCACAGGTCATGCGTGTCTCTTACAGTAGACCTAATAAATAATCCACGGACTAGCCACCCTCTGCTCTATTGTCGTGGGGTGAGCAGTTGCTCGCGTGAGTTGAGTACATTGTGTAGTACCGACGAGGGACAAAAGTGAGCGCTTGCTCGCGTGCATTTAGTACACTGTATAGTACCGAAGAGGAACAAAAGTAAGCAGACTAGGACAGGGCACGTGATAATAATGATAGTAATAAATAATAAATAATAAATGACATTTATAGAGCGCTCAACCCCGATTAAAGTACAGAAGCTCTGAGCGCTTTACAAGACAGTACAGCGTACAACAGTAACATAAAACGTTGTGTTCTGACTAAAGAAAATTATTCCAAATATTCATCTTATTGATTTAAAAACAGAAATGACTTCAGCTGACATTTGAATGAATCAAAAGATTTGATCTCTCTTAAAGTACTTGGTAAAACATTCCAGATCTTGGGGCCTTGGTATTCAAATGCCCTTTCACCCATTGTTTTAAGTTTCACAGATGGTAAAAGTGGCAGTGGTTAGGCTACTGGACTTGTACATGTGAGGTTGAAGGTTCGGGGGTTCGAGCCGTGGGCCCAACGTTGTGTCCTTGGGAAAGACACTTTACACGAATTGTCCTCACTTCACCCAGGTGGGAATGGGTACCCAGCTATAGGCAGTGAAAGATCTTGTCAGTTTGTTAGTGTTTGAGCGCTTAACCAGCTGCTTGCACTGTATGCTTCCCGGGAAGCTGAGAATGCTTCTGACTGTTCTATGTTCTGCTGGGGTAATGACATAGTATAAGGCGCATAGAGCTTGCTTTTGAGTGGGGGCATGCGCTGTACAAATGCTATTTATTATTATTATTATTATTATTAT